AGAGAGAGAGAGAGAGAGAGAGAGAGAGAGAGAGGGGTGGTCAGAAATATGGAAGTAGCTGAAGAGATAGAGATTGCCATAGTTGGTGGCGGAATCTGCGGCCTTGCAACTGCCCTTGCTCTTCATAGGTACTTTGATTTTTCACTACTACTGGAGTATATTTCAAAACGGAACAAGTAGTTGATTAATTTATGCTTAATTATAGTATTTATTTATTTTAAATACAAGCAATTGGGAAAAAGGGGCTTACATACAAGCATTCATGAGTACAGGAGGACTTGATGGCCAAATACTCATAATGAATTGAGTTATACCCTCTGGCAATTATAGTAATTATTTTATATGTAAAGATCAACATGATTTAGTACATGGAACTTATGTAGGAAGGGTTTGAGGAGTGTGGTGTTGGAAAGATCAGAATCCCTGCGTGCCACCGGGGCAGGAATCACAATTCGAACAAATGGTTGGCGAGCTTTGGACGAACTTGGTGTGGCCTCAAAGCTCAGACAGACTGCCATGCCGCTTCAAGGGTATATATGTCCATATCTGTATTTATCAACAAAAAAAAATTCACAATTAATTATACTATTATTGTTTTTGTTATTGCTATTTTCATACTTAGGGCTAGAGACATATGCCTCAATAGTGGGAAGCAACGAGAAATACCGCTTGGGTAAGTGTGAGTATATATGACCCAAGTTAATTTCTGCATATTTCGTACATCAATAATGCTTATAGTCATCATATATTTTCATCAAATCTGTTCAAGTCATTTTAAAATAGAAGATTAGGCGAAATTTGCTCCTTTATGATGGTCAGATAATGCAAACATCCACTCTTGGCCCGAAAGGAGAGAGGACCTATACTTTAGGGAGCCCTCCTTACCTCCTATCTCCCTATATTATTAAGAAGAAAAAGAAAGATACACATAGTTAGGCATGACAAAAACCAAAACCCTGTGAAGAAATCGAAAAACAAATCAATGTAAGTAAAAAAGAAAACCACCTCTTTCTGGTAATTAACATTACTCTTACTAATCCACCTCTTTCATGTTTACATGAAGTATGTATCTTTTAGGCCTAACCTTATAATTTGAATAAAGGGACACACAAGTAGTGTCACAAAATTATGTAACATGTTATAATTGTTTGTAATATAATTAATTATAGAGGTGGGGAAACAAGATGCCTGAAACGGATGGATCTGATCACAGCACTAGCAGAGAGCTTGCCACGTGGCACCATACGCCTTGGATGCCAAGCACTCTCTGTTAGGTTAGACTCATCAACTTCCAGTCCAAGTCTTCATCTCCAGAATGGAAGCTCCATCAAAGCCAAGGTGAACAAGTTATATTTCATTTGTCAATTTCCAATGAAAAATAATATTAAGCCAAAATGAAAATTATACGTGTCAGGTTTTGATTGGATGTGATGGAACCAACTCAGTTGTTGCGGATTTTCTTGACCTAAATCCGTCAAAGCTCTTCTCATTATCGGAGGTTAGAGGTTTTACAATGTATCCAAGTGGTCATAATTTTGGGAACCATTTTGTCCAAGTTAAGGGTGACAAGTGCACAGTTGGAAGAATACCCATTCATAATAAATTGGTTTATTGGTTCGTCACTCAGAAAGTCATGTATGGTAGAGGAGGTAAATTCTTGATTCTTCTCTACAACACAAAATCAATTACAATTAGGATTCCATCCACTCCATCTTACTATGATTTTGTGGATCGCACATAGAGTGAATATAATCTTCATATTTCTAGGCAAAATGGCCAAACTATAATTTTTTTTGATAAATACCATAAGGTGTCTAGGCTAGCTAACGCACACCTCGACCAATTTGGCTCAGTTCCGCGAGTGGGGCTAAATTATAATTTTGATCCTTGTAGTTTAGGTCATTTTCTATCTCGGTCCACACTGTTCCTATTTTTTCAATCTTATTCTTATTCCTCTAGTTAATCAAATGACCAATTTAGAGTTTTCATCAACTAGAAACTCCTCTTCTTTAGTCAATGGAGTCTAGCCCAGTGGAAAAATGTCTTGACTTGCAAACCCGTGGTCTTAAGTTCAAATCCCCATGACACCTTTATGGTGTGTGTGAGAAACTCTCTTCCCCTTATAATTTAGACTATCGCTTGTATAATAAATTTTTTTGAAAAAAAAACCTCTTATTTTCTTTAAAACGGATTTTCATTAAATTAACTCACAAAATAATCACACGACGCCCTCATGTGGTATTTTTGACCTTTTCTTTTGTGCTAGCCTAAAGCCTACATATGCACAGGATCGAAATATTTCTACACGTGCACGTCACACTGACATTCTATGAATTAATTTGACACTTCCATTCTGATTTGGCTTTAATTTTTAAGGCTAATTGGACAAAATACAATTTACGGAACCAAAATGAAAAATAGCTCAAACTATTGTAGAACCATGACTGAATTCTGATTACATACATGAAAGAAATTGTTTACATGAACAGGGTTGGAGGTTCCAAAGGATCCAGAGCTCATTCGGCAACTGACATTAGAAGCAATCAAAGACTTCCCTTCAGAAATGATAGACATGATAAGCAAGAGTGACACAGAATCATTATCTAACACACGCTTGAGATACCGTTCGCCGTGGGACATTCTGGTAGGAAACTTTCGAAAAGGAAGCGTGACAGTGGCTGGCGATGCCATGCATACGATGGGACCTTTCCTTGGCCAGGGTGGCTCTGCTGGCATTGAAGACTCCATTGTCATTGCCAGATGTTTGGCTCAGAAGTTAGCTGAAAATTATGATAAAAAATCAAGGGCAAGGCATATAATGATGATGAAAGTGGAAGAGGCTTTGGATAAGTATGTGAAGGAAAGAAGGATGAGATTGGTGCTGCTGTCAACACAAACTTATCTTGCTGGTTTGCTACAACAAGATTCAGGGTTGATTGTCAAATTTGTGTGTATCATCTTGATGACAGCTCTTTTTAGTGATATGACTCGTCACACTCGATATGATTGTGGATGCCTTTAAAACTCTAGTGTTGCTTTAAGTTGAAACATTTTAACTAGATTCAAATAATGCTATTGTTCTGTGATCGGTATTTTGTATTTAATTTGAAATACACTTCTTATTGCAACGATATTACAAAGTCGAGTGCATAATGACTTTTTTGAAGTGCTAATAATAGTTTTTTTTTTTAAACCCAATAATATTTGTTAACTACCATTAGCACTATAAATAGTACTCATGTTTGGTATGCCTCACCATGCCTCATTGGACTGAACTGTGTTATATAATACTTGAAACCCATGTTTGGTAAAGGAGAGGATTAACTTAAATGGGATTGTATCAAATAGCGAGAGCGCTATTTTGAACACGCGAGTCCGACCCTTGGCTTGAATCAAAATCCCACCACCACAGACCCAATCTAAACTTGCTGATGAGTTTCAATTAACTCTAGTTGCCGCTCCAAGTTGGCTTGGGCTAGTCAAAAGGCAGATTGATATATAGACAAACTAAGGAAACCAACAAAACCAAAAAGTTCAATATCCAATAATATGATATAATCATTGACCAAATTGAAAGGGAAGGAAGAAGAGCTTTCCTGGTGGCGTTCAAGAGACAGAAAAAGCTCAAATCAATGAGTTGGCTCTGTCATCTGGCAAGTCTCTGCCAATAAAGACCTCCAACAGTATAAGGGGATGGGGAAGCAGATCTAGCTAGCCCAAAGGCCAGTTGAAAGACCCTAAATCAAAACTAGGGAGGCCAGGGAAGCATGCTTCCTTATTTTTTCTGCAGCACGGAGATGAAGGTTTTGGGTTAGTCTGGAGAAATAGGGTGCTTTCGAGAGACGAGGGAAAAAAAATTGTTTTTGAATGGAAAAAGAGAGTTTTTTTTTTTTTTTTTGGGTCAGAGTGGAAAAAGAAAGGTAGGTAGGAGGGAAGAAAAAAAAATGTTTTTGAATGAAATAGGAAGGAAAAAAAAGAAGAAAACATTAGGAAAAAAAACGAAAACAGAAAAATAGAGAAATTAATAAAATAATTATTTTTTAGTCCGACATAGCACCAAACATAGGTCTACTATTTTTGCAATCCAGCTTTCTAGTCCAACGCAACACCAAACGTAGCTCAGTACTTAATCCAACTTAAACCAATTCGAACTAATCCAAGACAGTCCTAGAATTTAGTCCAATTCACAATAGTCTGCCGCACCAAACAACCTTACAGTACAATTAGCCTCATAAGCATCAACTCTCTACGCTGAGTCTTGGATCTACTGTCCTCAAATCAGCTCTCTATGCTTAAAAGGAGTCCAGATCTGCTGTCCTCAAATTTCATGTTTCCTCTATGAGAAAGTAAGGCCGAATGTGCAAGTAGAAGATCCATAAGCACTGACAGAAAAGATCAGATTTTTTACTTCTCAATAGGAATTAACCAATGTTCGTGACCTGTTAAGTTGGGGAGAGATGTCAAAAATTTATGCAAGGGACGGGCATAGGAAATTCGGAGACAGCAGATCTGGACAAGCTTAGAAGTAACACATAAATTATAACCAAGAAAAAGAAGTACACGTAAATAACTAAAAACAACAGATCAAGTCTGGAGAACAAAGTGTCGATACAGATCATGAAGTGATACAAGATGCAGATGCACTTTTTTGAATTACCTCAAACCAAGTACACGTGGGAGCAAAAGTACGAATAGAAGATGCTGATCAACAGTGAAGCGACAATTGCATGCAAGTGAAGATAAATTTAAATTTTTGTGATACAAAAACTAACCAAAATTTTCCTATTCTAACTAATTTACTGATTACACTAAGCACAAGCTTGTGTAAGCTACGTGAATAATATGGTGCCTCGTGCACTGCAGATCCATTGATCTGACTCTTATGTGGGCATAATATTACAAGCAATCAAAATTGATTGAATCAATAGCAAGCTTTATGTTGTTGTAGAGCAAGCAAGTTGGTGCCTGCACATGTATGTAATGAATTGCCGCATCAAAACCGATCATCTATGACTATGTGCTACGATGGCTGAATCTGATCTTGCCGAAGCATCTGTTGGAGTTTAATGACCTGTTGTTGCTGTTCCGGAGACAATGAACTCAGCTTTTCAGGTGTTAGGCTCAAAACTTGTTGTAGTAGAGCAGACTCCACCCCAGGTGGAAGCTGAGACAGAAAAAGAAAACATATGATGTCAGATACTCAGATAAAATGGGAAATTGGCAACTACCATTTAGCATTTCTTGCCCAACATTTTTTGGAAAAGAAGAAACTTTTATTATCATACAGTTTAATAAGTACATACAGTGGACACTATAAACTACATACTAGAGTTAAACGTACTAAGATTCAGGGGCAAAGTCTTTATGTTATACATGCTGGTTTATCAAGAACACACGAAAAAAAGGTACTTCGAGTTGTTGAATCATCTCTAGGGATGGCTTAGAACCAACAGTTCATCTGTAATTGATATTTCATTTCTAAACCGAGTTAAGAGAACACCAAAAGTTCACCAAAAATATTATAAAGAAAAACCCATTATCAGGAAAAAAAAAAAAAAAAAAAAAAAAAAAAAAAAAAAAAAAAAAAAAAAAAAAAAAAAAAAAAAAAAAAAAAAAAAAAAAAAAAAAAAAAAAAAAAAAAAAAAAAAAAAAAAAAACGAAATCCTTCAGCTACTCAAATATGTGGAAATCCAAACACTTTTCCAAAATCTGCCGAGTACAAAATCCCACATGTTTTTTTAAAGCCTAACATTTCAATTTATGAAATCCTACATCTTTCCATGAATGCAATTTGGTTTTCCATTTGATGCTGTATCTGCAACATGATACCAGAACAAGAAGTTCATCCATGTTGAGGCCCAATTTGCACCATATAATTGAACCATGAGTTTGGCTTTGTGAGCCCACACGTGAGGGGATGTGTTAAGAATATAAATTCTCACATCAGGCTCCACCAATGCCAATTAGTTATTGGTTCTGAGTTGGATGGTCTAATTTAATATAGGCTTAATCAAAATGCTAAATAAATAAAAAACCTTCTGCATCACTGAGAGCAAGACAGCTTTCTTTTTACACAATAATGTCCGGTTTAAAGACCAAACTAGCAAAGACACGAGAAGTAAACTGGAACAAAACAAACAAAAACAAAACAAAACAAAACAAAAAAATCACCAAGGGAAGACATTACCTGAGAAGTTTGTTTCTCAGACTGCTGTACTTCTTCTGGGTTAGGAACAGGCTTCCCAGGCATTGAGCCAGCTCCAAAAACATGAGGCAATGCAGATCCATTGGCATTAGACACATTCAGACGCCCTGCTGACAAAGAGGTACTCCTTCCATCGTCCAACTTCATTTGCTTTGCAGGGCGCTTAACTGATTCAAAAGATAAATTATCATCCCTGTTGACTGCCAGTGACATTCCCGAAGACATTGAGGGACCAGGCTGTTACAAATATAGCAAGTTAAATAACACCAACAAATAGTGAAACTAGCAAGATAACTAAAAGCACCTAAAGACTAGAAAGGTGAGGTAGTTTTTTCCCACCCTAGTTCTTTGTATTTGTAAATACAAACAAGTAACCTTCCTTATCAGAAAAGTGGAAGAGATTTTACGACTGTTAACTACAGAAATACAAAACATGCAAAATAAATTATGTATAAATTTTATCCAGCTTAACAAAATATTATATGCATCAACACAACTAATCATCTTTTTCTTATCCTCTCCTTTGGTGGGAAGTAGACATCCAAGACGAAGAAGGAAAGGATGGATATTTTTCTTCCAATTATAAAAAATAAAAAATAAAAAATAAAACATAAAACAAAACAACAGCTAGATATTAATATTTGCCTATTCATGTGACAAGAATTAGAAAAAGTTGGCACCTGAAAGCTGGCATCAGATAGAGGGCGAGGAAAACGAGACTGATGTACAGAAGCATTTGGACGAACCATCTGAGTGTTATGCCCCAAATTGGCACGTCCGACCAGACCAGGATGCTGTAGCAAAGGAGGCTGCATTTTCTGATTTGAAATAGAAGAATTTGCAAGTTGAGTTTGTGGTCGAATGGGCAAACCGCCTGAAGACTGGGGGTGTATGGAAGGAAGTGTTGTAACTCCAGACTGCCCAAGCAATGGGGCCTGTTGCAAGACATGTTGGTTTGCATGTTGTGGAAGCTGCATTCGAGGTTGCATGTGTTGTTGTTGGGGTGCAGATAACTGGCTCCGAACCAATGGATTTTGAGGTACCGAAGAAAATTGGCCTTCTTGCGCTTTGGGCACCAACCCAGCTTGCAACCTATTCTGTGCAGGAGGGGGTAGCTCAGAAAGGGTTTGAACAGCTGGTGGCTGACCCTGCTGGCCCTCATTGAATGGAGGCTGTGAGGGCTGACTTAAAGTTTGCCTGATATTTGGCATCTGCAGCTGAAAAAGGAGAGTCAAGGTGTTAAAAGGTCAACCCAGTTCAAGTACTTAACAATCTTGTTATGACAATAGATAGTTCTAGGAGGAGAAACGAACCGTTTGCGGGCTCACCATTCCGAGCATTATTTGAGCCTGAAAAGAAAGTTAAGATATCAAATTCTATAAATAAAAAGGTTAAAGAAAAACATGGAAACAAGCATACCTAACTATACATACTCAATGCATTGAGATGGGTGTTTCTAGATTTAAAACTCAACACAGATGGATGTGGATGTTATACGCACATAATTGAAATGTAAACAGCTTTGACCCCTTAATTAATAGTTTGTGCATATAACATCCACATCCATCTGTGTTGAGACCAGTGAGACGGGAGGGCAAGGAAGATATATAAAAATTTCAATATGCCTTATTCCATAAGGACAGTCCCACTTTGACACAATAATTTGTCACCTTTTTACAAGTAATTATTCAAACAACTTCATCTCGTTCAAGAAGAATTGAAGTCAAAAAAGGGTATAAGGAGCATGCCGATAAAACAGAGGAGAAAAACTGTAGAAAAAAGTAAATCCAAATGACCTAGTTTCAGAAGGAAACCAGAAATACACAGCTCAATTATATCTTCTGTTACAGGACGTCAAGCAAAACTCTCTAATAAAATTACACAAGAAACCCAATTTAAATGACGAAAGTGTAATATTATAAAATAAATTTACAGATTGAAACCTGTACAACATAAACACCAATACAAATAGTAGAAATTTACCTGGAAAAGTGCTTTTGGCAACTGTGGCCTTGCAAGCAATAGCTGACGAGCTAGTTCTTTGTTTTGTACAGCCATTACCTATCATCAGAAAGAGTATGAAAAACATACCAAGATGGATCCAGAATAAAGATATAAGCTTCAGTCAAACTGCTCACCTTGAGCTCCGACATTATTTGATTCAACTGACCCCTAGACATTTTGGCCAGATGAAGTGTCAAAGGATCATTGGCTGATGCCAATTGATTCTGCAAGCCATTTTGACTAGACTGCAAACCAGCCTGAGCACCACCTAGAGCTCCTGCCATGACGGTTGCCGCAGTTATAGCTATATGGAGACCAATTGGCTGATGTTGAAGAGCTTCCACATGAACAGATGGGCCCACTACTTGTTTTTGTGGATCTATAATGCACCCATAAGAAAAAAGAATAACACAGTTTCAGGTTTCTCTTAGGTCAAATAATAAATAAGAGGGAAAAAAAAGGACAGAAAATGAGAGAAGAAAACTAACCAACATTTGCAGTCAGTCCTGGTCCACCACGACCCTGCAAGTGAAAAATAATTACTTTACTCTTACAATAAAAACGAAATTTATAACACCTACCTGTTGCTATTTTCAAATCAAGATGATTGATACCAGTCATTTAGCTAATTTGGACAAATTCCAGGGAAACAGTACTATAGCAAAAGTAATAATCTAACAGATAAAATGCAGAACATTTGAAAAAGAAGGGTTTTAGAATGCCAACAATACTGTAATAAACTAACTAACAGATAAAAGTCTGAATAATGAAAGCAAACAGCAAAATTATGAGTGTAACTCGCCCGTATGGGCTCTTAACTCCAAATCAAAGGTCAAGCATATGAAACACTACAGAACTTTTTCTGCGAGTCAACAAATACAAGACCACAGTCAAGCATATGAAACACTGCAGAACTTCTTCAACGAGTCAACAAATACAAGATCACAGCAATTTATACGGGCAATCCAGATCAGATTTGCAATCCAAGAATTTAGCATCATAGTACAATATTCTTCTAGGTCACGCCCCTTCTAATAAAAGGCATGGGAAAGTAAAAGAAAAGTAGAATACAATACTGCTTATAACAATACTTCAGGAAATTTGTTATTTAAAAAAAAAGCGCAAAGAAAATGGGGAAAATATTGTAGCTAAAAGTCTCCTAGTACCTGTTCTCGATTTCGGTCAGCACCTTTGTCATTTTCAGCAAAATCAACTCGTAATTGTCTCCCATTGATCTCATAACCCTGAAGATTACGCCGAGCACTTAGAGCTGTTTCTTCATCCTTGTACTCACAAAATCCATAACCTTTTGGTTTCCCAGTCTCTCTATCAATAACTAGTCTGAAACGAAAAGGATGTACAGATTAAAACAAATTCAACAAATGTTTCTACTTTCAACCCACCCATAAGTCTGGGTATATAGCATACACTATCTACATCATATAGTAGTTTCCACTAATCTTGATTCCCTAAGTGATATAATTTCATAAAATATCAACCTTCTAAATGGAAATAGCTAGCTCAAGCAAAATCAGAACTTCGCTTCTGAATTCACTCCAAAAGTTATCTTTAACGTATTTAACATCCGAAAACATATAACTTTGCAAACACAAGAACTTATTTAACAACCTTTGAATTAAAAAGCATCTAGTATAGAATTAGAAAATGACAACAAATCTAGGTATAATTTTGCGGTTAAAGATTAAATATTTTCCTTCGGGAATAATGATATATTGACCTCCAAGCGAATCATATAAAGCATAAATAGGATTCAAAGAGATATGATATTCAATTTTTTTTTCTTTTGGTTCTAGAAATTCAATTTAGGGTTCAGGAAGAAACGGGTTTATGTTAAATTTCTAATTTCTAATTGGGAAGTGAGTCAACTGACTAACCTGAAAGATACAACAGGGCCAACCTCCTGGCAGATTTCTATAAGCTGTTCCTCAGTGGCATCATAAGGTATATTCCCCACTGCATCACAACAAATTTAACCACAACAAAAGAAAAATATTACAATTTACCCAAAGACCCACATAAGATTTTCAGCCAATTTCTACAAAACCCTTAAAGTTAAGGGAAAAGTAATTGCCATTCGAACCCATTGCAATTGAGTAGGATTTGAAATCGAAAGCCACAAGATTTCATCATTGCATTTTTATTTTCTAAAGGAATATCCTGGGAAACAAACAAAGAATGAATCAGAATAAGGGAGAGTACCAAAAACGCAGCGGTGCTGAGAAGCGGCCATGAATTAATAGGAGAAGAAGAAGGTGAAGCACTGCTTCATCTTCTTCCTCCTTACCATTCTTTTTTGTCTTCGCTTTTCACTGTTTGCTCTTAAAAACTCTGACAATAACAACTATGCAGATTAAAGACCCTAAATTCGATACGAATTTGTGAATTCTGAAATTGGAGAATGCAAAGTAAAACAGCAAAGGCTCGCAACCAGTGCCTTAAGGCAGAGAAGCTCAGGATTTAGAGAGAGAGAGAGAGAGAGAGAGAGAGAATTAGAGACTCGATCTCGTGAAGGAAAGCAGAGAATCGAGAAACTGCTCTCTTGAATGTTTTTTGGCCTTTTTCCTTTTAATTACAGGAATCCGGGTCAATTCGGGTTTGTGTCTCAATTTACTGCAATCCAACCTATTTAATTACTATAAATAATAAATAAAACCAAAAAAACAAAATGAAAGAAGGCTCTATTTGAACCCCAGCAAGTCTTTCTCCCGTCTGCAACATTTTTTTTTGTTTTGACAAACACGACTTTAAAATAAAATAAAGGCTTTTTATCACAAATAGTTTCTGAGGTTTACACCATTATCATCTTTTGTTTCTAACTTTTTTTGTGACACTAGTGGTTCTTAAGGTTACCCTCCATACATCAAAATGATCTTTGCTGTTAGCTTCCGTCAAATTTTCTGTTAAATTGATGACATGAAATGTGGAAGCCCACACATCTAATAGTATAGAGCCACATGACATTAAATATAATATATTTTAAATATTTTTAAAACTTAAAATTCATAAAAAAAAAATAAATTAAAAGCAACTTAAA